AATTAATGTTTAAATAAATTCTATGATTTTAAACTTGGAATAAATATAAAAATGCAGAATAAATACATTTAAATAAATATGCATACTTTTACATTTTAGTTTTGCTTAGAATAAATTGTAAAACATTATGCAATATAAAACATTTTTTATTTTAAACTTTCATGATTAAGAAGAAAAAATAAAATGAAAGAAAAATTTCGTAAAACAAACAAAACAAAAACATTTCAATAACTTATCATTTAAAATGATCATGAGCACTTAAACAGAATTAATGCAATTTAAAAAAATTAAAATTAATCCAAATTAATACATTTCTATAATTTCGAACTTAATTAATACAGAATTAATAATAATAAAAAAAAGTGCTGTAAAATAAATAAGTTTAATTATATTTCTAAAATGTCTACCGTTCCTGAGAACTTCAATTATCTTAGAGGCCATTACGGCAAGACTTGTCACCCTCACTCGGATGTTACTTTTCACCTCCGTGATGAGTTTTAAATCAATCCTGCCTGACTGCACGACGGTAAAACGAGCCCGATTACTCATCTCACTGATGTCAAACCACATTTTGATGATACATATATAATTGACCGTCCAAATGACCCATTCATACCAATGAGTGAATGACCAACGTGCACCGAAAACACACTCAAATCATGACTCAGGAAATCTGCGTTTTCACTCACCATCTTTAGCAAAACTGAAGCTTTCAAATTTCTTGTAAAGCTTGTAAAATGTAATATATACCACACATATACAGTACATACAATCAAATTACACCAGTAATGATTGTCAAATTGTGAAAAAAATAAACAAATGCTCCCTGATGACTACATATTGAATAAATGTGCACTCTGAATACACACCATGTTTCACCCATTACTCTTTGGCTGAGGAAAATCAGTTATGACGGTAATGAGATTTTCAGTTTTTGTCCGAGCGGGTGAGAGAATGAGTGAGCGAGCGAGCGAGAGAACGGGAGAAATGGAGGAATGCCGTGAACCATCAGATTCTCCTGACAATGAAAAACATTCCCTCCTCCGGCAGTGATCCCGTCCTGACGACTGAAGTGTGAGGGGGATATCAGCATCAATAATCTTTCATCAAGTCAAAAGCACTCGGCTGCAGCCCACCAAGCACTCAATAGATAACTGTGAGCCATCACTCGCCGCCGAGTGAGAGAAAAGAACAGAGACAGAGAGCTGAAGCACTCCGGGTGGTGAGGAGATGGAAAGGGCCATCTTCCTTTACACGCTATCTGCTGCACGCACTCTCACTCTTTTGTAGGGCAGCTGTTACATCTTTGTTCACGCTCTCCACTGAGGGAAATCCTGACGCTGACTTGCATACTATGAAGCAGCAGGTCACTCCACTGTCTTGTAAACAGATAGTACAGCAGGTAAACAAAGGTAAATGAATACACAGGCAGAGACACACATAATTGGATCCAGAACACCTGAGAAGAGATGATGCCAACCCCTCAGAGGAATATAATATACAATTAATAGATATCCTAAAAACAGAATACATTTATAATACCAGTCTTAAATAAATAAATACATACAGCTTTCTTTTACATAGCACCTTTAAATGTGGTTTTCTCAAACTGCTTTTAGTTTGAACAAAAATGTAAAAAATAAATAAATGAAAATTTTAAATAAATTCATAATATTAGCCTCAATAATTTTGAAGTCTCTAGCTATGGCATCCTTCAATTTAAATCTGTAGGACTGCTTTGACCTGTTTAATCATGCACTAGGCAAAAATGATACGTTCAGATGCTGAGAAAAGTATCAGCACAGCTCTCCTCATCAAGCCACATACTTTTAGGCATCATTCATGTTTGTAACACAAATATGCATAACAAATTATGCGCTATACATATTGGTATCGTCCAACAGCATGTCTCAGCCTGATCTAACAGATAAAGGCATAAGTCAGAGTTCAGCAGCATTAAAATAAATCCTGCATTATGATGCATTAGACCAAAGCGCATGCCGTGTACCCTCAGGAGTGACTGATACACCCCTCTGAGTGATGGATAGCTGTCAGAGCCACTGAGAGCTCTCAGTTCAGCCCCAAGGGGAGTGGTTTGGGACTGTAATAGTGTCCTTAATTGCCACCAAAAACACTCTTTTCTCCAGGTCATTGATTGGGAATGTGAGCGAGTGTGTCAGGCTTAAAGCGGGAAACACCTCGAGACATCGCCTGGAAGCGGAGCAGGTGAGCAGCTCCAGACAATGGTCTATGGACCCTATTATCTCCTGAAACATCTCATCTTCTTCAAACAGCACTAATGGAGCGATGATTGGGTGAAGACTCCGACACAATCCAGTCATTGATCATGGAACTGACACTGGATGTGATGCTTATTGAATATGCTTCCACATCCTGAACAGAGTTCAATCTTCAAATACTACACTTCACTTTCTTAAATACTTACAGCCGCCATGTTTGATGTCTGACTACGCAAAACAAAGCATTCTTTGAGTTTTTAATACATGAAACATTTATAGAGCCTCATTAAGAAGTCCAAACATTATTCAAATTGACCACAAGCTTGTATTCAGGCAATGATTTAGGAAAAAAAAAAATTATGTTTCCATTCAAGTTTTAAGATTAATTGTTTCAAGATTATTGTTGTAAAATTGAAAAATGTTTTGTAAAGAATAAACTAGGGTTACAAAATTTTAGGAAGAAAAATATCAAATTGCATTTGTTCTGATAAAAATGCCCATTTTTAATACAATTTTTAATGCAAAGCTCCAGGTTTTCTGTGCTTGTGTTAGACCTGCACAATTTAGCCAAAAATTATTATATTATATTATTTTATAATGGTTATTATCATAATAATTATTGCTATTAAATAAAAAAATAAAGAAAATAAGATATTACTATTTAATTAATAATAAAAATAATAATAATAAAATATTCTCAAGCTAATATTAATATTTATGGCTGTCTTAATTGATTTTTGAATGTTAAACCATCAAGATTTTATTCTGGTAGAAATATGCAGGAAGCCTTTTAAGCTTCTATTTTGTTTAATTTTTAAATTGCTAAACAATTTTTAATGCAATTTTAAAAAGATCCTGGTTTGCTGTGCTTGTTTTAGAGCTGCACAATTTAGCCAAAAATTATTACTATTAAACTATTAAATAAAAAATTAAACAAAACAAGAGATTACTATTTTAATTTTTCACTGTAAAAAAAAAAAAAAGAGTAATAATAATAATAATAATACAAATTCACACTAATAGTAATATGTATGGATGTCTTAATTCATTTTCGAATGTTAAACTATCAAGTTTTTATATTATAATTTTTAATGCATTTAAAAAAAAAATATTAAAATTTTTTTTACTATTAAATTAAAACAAGAGATTAAGATTTTAATTCTTCACTGTAAAAAAATGGAGTAATAATAATAATACAAATAATTTCACACTAATAGTAATATTTATGAATGTCTTAATTCATTTTCAAATTTTAAACCATCAAGCTTTTATTCTGGCAGAAATACACAGGAAGCCTTTAAACCTTCTTTTTTATTTAATTTTTGAATTGTTAAACAATTTTCAATGCAATTTTTAAAAATGCTCCAGATTTGCTGTGCTTGTTTTAGAGCTGCACAATTTAGACAATTTAACAATAGAGTAATAATAATAATAAAATAATAATAATTTCACACTATTAAGTGACCCAAACTCAGAACAGATGCAGACATGGAGTTCATGTGGAGCAGCATTTACTGTGAACCAAGCTGCTCTGAGACACTGAAAACACCAGAACACGAGCTGCTCACGTGTTAAACAACACGGTGCCACATTTCACTCTGAAACATGTAGAACATATATTTAATTAAATTGCAGTCTTTGCAATTTGATGAAAGCACTAAGCCATATTGCTATTTTGGTTTTAAACTTCTGCAAAATAGAAAGGAACTAGGGCTGAACGATTTTGGAAAATAATCTAATTGCGATTTTTTTTACCAATATTGCGATTGCGATTTAATATGAAATTATTTTTTTAAAGCTCTTTATGTTCTGTATTATTCAACAAAGACAAGCTATAAATCATTGTATAGTATGACCAACACACTATTAGATAGATTAAACATAAATGTCCTTTTCTGTAGGCCAGGCTTATATGTTACCATGAAATTAGGTGATGCATGAATTGATATGAATGACATTTTTATTTAACAACCTTTGAAGCTCCTAATTTTTTTTCATAGTCGCACGCAGTAGTTTTCAGTCGCAAATGCGGCTGAAATGGTCGCACTGTAGAACCCTGGAGAGCTGTAGCGGCGCGACGAACAACTATAGCGTTTGGTATAGTATAGACACGGTGAGTGAAGCCGAGAGCAAGATATGCCTCGTCATATTTTCTGCATTTAGCTTTTGAATGACCAGCACCTGCCTGGGTCTGTGCGACTTCATCTATGGCTTTTCTCTTCGCTTTCACAAACCGATCCATCTCCCATTCTAAGTTACGTCCTTTTTACCGCTGCTGTTTACCGTTTTATTTCTTTTCTTTTTCTGCTTATGGCCCGCGCTCGACTTGAAGCAGCGCTGCTTAGACCGATGGGTGTGTCATCAAAGTACTGCCAGAGCTATAAGAGAGCGCGGACGTCTCCTTATGCTTTCTCTGGCCGTACTTTGATGTCATACATGATCTGATCTTCAAGTCGAACACACCTCTTTACTCTCGCGTGTCACGTGCCCGTGTAATCGCAGCCTCTGCGATTGAAAAATCGTGTTTTTTCATATCGCGATATTATCGCAAATGCAATTAATCGTTCAGCCCTAAAAGGAACGTTGCTAGCAAACTGGATGGAAACTTGGCTAATAACTTGATTAGTTAACAAATCTATTATAAACATTACTTCAATTCATAGGGCCTGGGAGAAAAGAATCTTGTCACGATGAATTTTTGACTTTTAAAACAATCTTGTTTTCAAGGCTACCAGCTAATGCTTTGGACAGGTGACCCACCTGGTGCTGTCCACCCCGGGTTTGGTGTATCCCTCCACACAGCCCTCCCATACGCTGTTGGCCATGGCGTTCCCGATGGCCGTCATCACCATGCTGAGCTCCACAGGCCAGTCGTCCAGGTCCAGAGACCGTACGCGGGACAGATGGGTGCCCAGGTTCCTGTGCATCCCGGAGCACTCGATACAGATCAGAGCGCCGAGGTTCAGACTGGCCCAGTCTGGATCTGAGGGTCAGAGACAATTACAATTCAGTTTTCCTTATCAAAATTACATTTTATGCAATTCAAACTCTGATATGCTATAAGTGTGGTCTGATGGGTCATTTTCGGCAATGACAATCTGAAACTATCCAACAAAAATATATATTTTTTTTTTACATAATTGATTTTATTTCTACATATTTTTACAATTATTTTATTATTTTAAAGTTTGTGAATCTACCCCCCAAATGTCTGAAAAATTATTATTTTTTTAAATGTTATTTTTAATTATGTTTTATTATATTAATGTGGGTGAAACTACCCCCCCCAAAAAAAGCCTGAATTTTTTTTTCATTTCTATTATTTCTATTATTTCTTTCTATTATTTTTAATTATTTTAATGTTTAACAAAACAGAAACATGTCTGAAAAACTTTTTTTATTAAATTATTACATTTTTAAAATTTTATTTTTCTTTATTTTTTATTATTTTAAAGTACTTTATCACATTATACCTCATGCCACTATACAACAAAGGAAAAGACAAACATAGGATATAATAAAATTATAGACTCGCTTGTTCAGAAATGGGTGCCGTCACAATGTTTTACTCACTGGGGGCGTCACAGTCTGCACAGAAGCTGTTTCCCCTCACATTCCTGATGGATTGGATGGTCACTGCATCACTCTGGCTTCCTAATCGAGACTATGTGACATAACAATTCAGATATCACAGTTTGAAAAGAGCAGAAGGGTACATAAGGCATACTAACCTATTTCCACGGTACCTAAATGAACACATCTTACCTTGTTCTTGCTGCTCTCACAGGACTGTAGACTGGCAAATATCTGGCTCTCAATGGCCTGAACCCAGAGTTCTCTTTCCTCATACGTAGATGCCTCAAAATGCCACATCTGACCCGTCAGGGACACAATGATGAACTCAAAGGACTCCTCTAGCTCTGAAACACACCAAACGGGAGATGAGTTTGGATACGGTTTTAAAAATTTTAGTTTGCAAACTTTTCAGTGGAAATGATTTGCGTGTCCACAATGAAAGCAAAAATGCTATGCAACATGACACAATTACCAGGGGTTAAAGCAACAAAAAACAACCTGAGCCTGAACTTTTTTCCGGGGGGCGGGGCGGTGGGGGGGCAGCACATGCAAAGCATGCAATGACTGTGGCAACTTTAACATTTGAAAGGATACTATGGCAAAGTTATCGCTTTCCTTATTCAAACTGATTTTTTTTCATGAATATATGGTTGACCTAAAGAATGATAGCTATATCATACACTTGGAAAATTATGAGCTACATCACACTAGGGGTGTGACAATACACTTAGCTCACAAGATGAGACAAAATACAGATACTTGGTTCACCTAGAACGAGACAATATTTTAATACTATTTTTAAGAAATGTTCAATGACAAAATATTTGTCTTTTAATCATAAAAAGTATGATTTTGAAATATTTTAACTAATCTAGGGCTGTAACTAATGATTATTCTGGTAATCAAGTAAGCTACTGATTATTTTGACAGTTGAATAATCTTGATATTTTTTAGTAACACAAATAGTCCTAAGTGAAAACCAGGCTTTAGTATGACTTTATATATAAACTAACGATGAGGCAATAATAATTGGCTCAAATAAAATATAAAAA